GGGGCGGCGACAGCGACGGCGGTGAAAGCGGGAATCGGAGTCTGCGACGCCGAGAATCAGCGGCTAGAGAGAGAAGGAGCGAACGAGAGGAAGAAGGACAGAGCAATTTCTGAAGAAGATGGCGCGCGAATGATGAAGATGACGAAGGGCGGAAGAAGAAGATGACGAGGCGTTTCTGAAGAAGGGGAAGAAGGGCGATGGGTATAAGGAAGAATGATGCGTGGGGGTGTGTTGAAATTTTAGGGTGGGCTAGGTTCAAATGATTTTCCCACAAAAAATTTGTTCCTTTTTCGTTACCAAAAAAATGTTTTGGTTCTTTTGGTAGCAAAAAAACTTCTTTTTGTCATTAAAATATGAATTTAGTAGCATAATTATATTTTTTGCTACTAAAATTTGATACCAGAAAATTATATTTTTTATTATCAAATATTATTTTGGTAGCCGAAAGTATATATTTTGCTACTAAAATTTAATTTGGTAGCAGAAAGACATATGTTAAAAAATTAAAAAAACACTTTTTGATGACAAATTATTTTGAACTCATTATTTTAGTAACATTATAACAAAAAATATAGTTTTGAAATTGAAATATATTATTCCATGTTAAAAAGTAATCAAATAGTAAGATTACATATTACTCTATGTGGAACATATACTTAGTTAACAATATGACATATATACATCTGAATATGTCTTTTGCTATACTTACACAAAATAATTAAATTATCAAATAATTGTTATATAAAATATGCTAGGATGATTGTTAAAACTTAATATAGGACATATTTATGGAAAAGAAAAAAAAAACAATACATGCACAAAATGTAAGTTTTAAAGTTTTTATATGATTTGCTACCAAACACAACTTTTGGTAGCAAAAAATGCCTTTTTGTCACCAAAAAAAGAATTTGGTAGCAGAATCATGTTTTCTGCTACCAAAATTTGGTACCAGAAACTGATGTTTTTTGTTACCAAACATTGTTTTGGTAGCTGAAAATATATTTTTTGCTACCAAATATGAATTTGGTACCAGAAAGACGTATATTAAACATTAAAAAAATAACGGTTAATGTCAATAATTATTTAAGAATAATTGTTCTAATAACATTATAACAAAAAATGTAGTTTTGAAATTGAAATACATTATTCAAAGTTAAAAATCAATCAAATAGTGAGATTATATACCACTCTATGTGGAACATATACTTAATTAACAAGATCACATATGTGTACACATGAACATGTCTCTTGTTACGCCTACACAAAATAACTAAATTATCAACTAATTATTATACAAAATATACTAGGATGATTGTTAAAACTTAATATAGGACATATTCATAGAAAATTGAAAAAAAAAAAAAAAAAGCAATACTAGCACAAAATATAAATATTAATGTTTTTATATGATTTGCTACCAAACACAACTTTTGGTAGCAAAAAACGCCTTTTTGTCACAAAAATAAGAATTTGGTAGTAAATCATGTTTTCTGCTACCAAAATTTGGTAGCAAAAAATTAATATTTTTTGGTAGCAAAAACTTGATATTTTGCTACTAAATTTTGGTGGCAGATAGTTATATTTTGCTTCCAGTTGGTAACAAATGTTATATGTTTTGCTACCAAAAATAATTCGGTAGCAAATACCTCGGGCGGGAAAAAATTTTACTTCCCGCCAACCTTTTGTTACCAAAACATGTTTGGTAGCAAAAAAGTCATATTTTGCTACCAAATTTTGGGTAGCAGAATCTTATGATTTTGTTACCAAATATTATTTTGGTAGCAAAAAGCTATTGGCGGGAACCAAATTTCATTTCCCGCCATATTATTTGTTACCAAATTATATTTGGTAGCAGAATGTGTTGTTTTTGCTACCAAATTTAGTAATTAAAGCCTTGATATTTTCAGCTACCAAAGTTTAGTAGCAAAAAGTGTGTTTTCTGTTGTCAAAAAATTTTTGGTATAAAAAAGTTTGGTCTCTTAAAGTCATTATTCTTGTAGTGCTCGTTATAATAAATGATACTAAAATGATTTTATTCTTAAAAAAAAATCTTAAGGGTCTGTCTATAGGCTCACTTAATTTTTTTATTAAGTAAAAAGTAGAAAATAAAAACGCAAGGCCTGTAATGTCATACGATGACATGTTATCCTGCAGTCTGTAAAACTGTAAAGTAATTACACAAACTTGTCTTATTTTCTGCTATATATAATCATGAGTACTGCCTTTTTCGATCGATATATTGGACTATATGCGTGGTTAAAACTATATCGTATACGTATGAATGTTAACATGATCCATTATTATTAGCAGCACGAGGGTGAACCATTTAAATCCCTCTCAACTTCCGTTAAATTACAGTAATTTTCTAAATATAATAATTGATGCAGTGGCGAAGTCTTAAACGCTGACGGTTACTTTGGTTTAATGAAACACCTGTCGTTTTTCTTTGTTTCCTTTGTTCCTATGCTTGTCGTGTGGCACAATAAAGAACCAATTAGCTGTCGTTTCCTAGGGTTATGGGACGCAGCGTTTTGTCCTTCAGATGGTTTATTTTGTTTGTAAGCCGAAAGAAACAAGATTTGATCATTTCTGTAGTGTTACCTCTTGTTTGAGACGTTTTCTCTCTGGTTGAATATGAATTTCTCGATTAGAATATATCAAAGAATTTCTTTCTTCACTCAATCAAGGTTTAATTAGTTTGTTGTGTCAATAATATGATTCTAAGATAATTTAAATCTTAAAAATTGTATCCTACGGATAAAAATTACAATATTTCTAATCTGACTTATTGACTTTAAAACATTTTCCAACTTTTCTCAAATTTAAATGGGTATTTATCTTTTTATACTTTATATTTTACGTTTATTCATAATAAATTTTTAATCTCATCAAATGTATTTTTTCAAATTATAGTTAATATAGTCTTTGATTCTTTTAGACGGATTACCCGCTCTAACTTAATAAGCGAAGTGAAAAATGTAACATGATACTTATTCAACGTAACAATAACATTAAAAATGTGAAATATTAAGATATTTAATTATTTCAATTATTATTATATCTTTTTAACATTAATATAATAACCAAATTAAAGGATAAAATAGTATGAGAAGTTAAAGTTCTTGATGTTATGTTTTTTTAGTGTTCATGTTATATGTTATGTTAAAAAAATATTTGTGTTATATTAAATAACTACAATGTTACTTTTCTACTTGCATATGTCATGTTGGAGGGACTAGAGGTGTCAAACATAGTGTGTCGGGAAAATTTAAAATGTATACAAAATGTTGTTTTGCTTGTAAAATGTATTTAATAAGTTATTTTGGCTCTGGAAAAGCTTATAATTATGAGAAAATGCTGCCTAAATTTTTAGAACATAACACATAAGTGTAAGAACAAACTATGAACCAACCACGTTTGGGGCAATTAGAATGACAACAGACGAAAAAATAGACGACTATTTGAAGGCCAACAGACCATTAAAAGAGAAAAAAGGCATTACTAAAAAATAAAAAAATGCAAAAAAAAAACATCAATTTATAAAAATGTATAATTAAACATGGTATAAAACAAGACCAGACCACTAACAGAATGACCAGACTAAGAATAGATAACCAAACTAAGAACAGAACAACCAAACAACGATCAGACTAAGATCAAACTAAGAACAGACAAAGAACAGGCCTGGAAAATACCACAAACCTACCACACTTGACCAAGAATAGACCATGATGATTTTTTTACTTTTTTGTAAAGCTTCGTACCAGCCCCAAACAATGGAGAAATATCCCATTATCCCATTTATAAAAGAGAAAAAAATTGGTAAAAAATGAAAAAAACTAAGAACAGACCAAAAACAGACCAAAAAAAGACCACGAACTAACCACACTTGACTAAGAATAGTCCATGATGATTTTTTTAATTTTTTAGAAAGCTTCATACCAGTCTCAAACAATGGAGAAATATCCCATTTATAAAAGAAAAAAAAACGTGCTAAAAAATGAAAAAACCAAGAACAGACCGAGAACAGACTAAGAACAATGGAGAAATATCCCATTCATCATTGTCTTTTATTACAACGGGTAATGATTTCTGTTTCAAATTCGGTACTTGGTTACGCCCAAACGTGTACAAAAATAAGCGGTCAATTGTAGTACAATTAGGATGGTCGATCCCACGAGGAGGTAATAAAATCAAACAAAAGAGATTAGTAGAACAAAAGCGTTAGAGAAGTAAGCAATCAAACAAAGAAAATAAAAGAGTGTTTTTTTTTTGTAGTCACGTATTTGGATTTTGATTCATGAATTGACTCAATTGAAAGTTTCACATCCCAAACAATCAATTGGAAAATAAATATTTGAAGAACTTGTGAATAAAAATATATTCGAGAAAATAAAATTCTTACGTTTAGAAATAGGAAAAATTATCTTATGAGAAATCTAAAAGCGACAGTATACCATTAGCAATATTATAGTAAAAGACTACTCATAAAATAATACCTACCAATATATAATATCGTGCAACAATCACATAAAAAGAGCTTGACTAGATTTATATAAAAGTTGAAAATAAAATATATTGATAAGAGGAAGAAATATGATAAAAGAAAATTATTTACTCAAATGTATAAAACTTACAAACCATTGGAGAATCAAAATCCAAACA